CAGATATGACATTTGCAGACACAAGAAATATATCTCAAATTTCTGAGCTACTGATCTTGCCTTAGCCTCTTGAGCTATCAAGTACTGAGATTACAGGTATATCCCACCACGCCTGGCAAGATGCACCTTGGTCTCATAGGCCATGCAGCAAGTGTTTTCTATAGACTGGTGACAAAATTAGAATAACTATGATTCTGGACTAGTTGGGCAATCGTGTGCAAAAAACGTTTACTGATGGATTGACAGTATTTTAACAAGAAGGAAGGTTGTGATAAAATGCCTTGTAGTTTAGATTTGACCTGTGCTGTTCTAATGTCATTTACATAGGGAAAGAAAAATCTGAGAGTTTAAAATTTGTGTAAGACAAAATAATTAATATTAAAATCAAAGCACATAATTAAAGGATAAGATGATTAGAAAAGTAAGGCAAACAAGTGTCTAGAGAAATTTGTTTCACTTTTAATTTACTTTCTTAGCTATGTGACACAGTACGTCGTTTGGAATACTCCTTATAGTTCCATATCTTGTTATTTTTAAATATATTATGTTAATTTTTATTTTCATTGTTTAAATTGATCACAGTTGGACTTTAAATTGCATAGTTTGTTCTCTATGCCCCTGAGCTATCTGTTTCCTGATCACTGGCTAACCTAACCTAACTCTTCATCACATAAACGCCTTGTGAAGTCATCACACTTCACCATCATGTATCAAAGTCTTCCTCCATGGTCTTCTGCACATTTACAACTACCTTAGTAAAGGAGGAAAAGAAGACCTAAAGAAATTCTTTTAAGCAAACAAAATGCCATGTCACTTTAATATACCTCGCTTGTTTACAGTGCAATGCCATTGCTACTTTGTGGTGCATGATTCCGAATGAGTCCCATCATTTAACAGAATGCACTGCCCAGACTAAAAAACACATCAACAGAGGACGAAAAATAAAGGTTTTAAAAAGTCAGTATTTCATGAGAACTAACTTATTCTTGTTTTTTTTTACTACATGAGTACAAAGCATAAATTAATTACTATACAAGAAAACAGTAAACAGAACACCAACTGAAAACAAAACACACGTCTTCTACTTACATTCTCAGAGGATTAACTATTTCTGTCCTCAGTAGCTCCTGGGTCTCACTATAATACTCTACATCATTCTTTTCTTTGGGTCTGAGCAACACAGTATCCAGGACAGAACTAAAAGCAAATAAGCTGCAAAATAAAAGAATATTTTCCTCATGTTATAAGAACAATAATATTTGAGAAAGATTCTTAGAGGAGTAGGAAGAGGCAAAGGGATAAAGTGTAGGGAACCACTGGTCTAAGAACTCATGGACAGACCACACAGGCCCTGTGCTCAGTGCCCTGAGATCCTGCAGATCCGGACCAGAAACACTAAGACTGCACCATACACGTGAAGGTTGAAAACACGCCAGGGAACATTATGAAAGAAGCTTGTTTACATAAACCAAGAGAGGCCTGGAAATCGGTCACACACACACAGACAACATAGGGAGAAAGTCAGAGACTGGTCAAGACCAGATCAGACTAGTCAGGACAAAT